CACAGAGAGCTGATTTGGGGAACACGGGCTCCACGGCAGAGCTCCTCACAGAGAGCTGATTTGGGGAACACGGGCTCCACGGCAGAGCTCCTCACAGAGAGCTGATTTGGGGAACACGGGCACCACGTCAGAGCTCCTCACAGAGAGCTGATTTGGGGAACACAGGCAGCAGAGTCCATGTACAGAACTCTTTAAGGAAGTTCTGGGAAGGCTGTGTTCTATTAATAACCTCTAATTTGTTTATTGGACAGAATTATGATGGCCCCACCTAATATACTGGAGAATTTGTACTTTGTCCAGTCCTGTTTTGCTGGCCCAGACTAATCAGGTTCCCATTTCTTGTTCAGTTCTCAACATAAGAAAACTGGCAAACAGATGCCAGACAGTTTTGGCAGATCAGACTGAAACAAACATGAATCAGCTTGTCAACTTTGCCCACTTGCATTACTACACGCATCAGGCAGGACTGATATTCTGTACAGTCTGTTCTGTCTCCATAAGTAAGACATACCAATGCAAATTAATCAACTAGTCAATCACGCAGTTCGAATATGCAATTAATCAATGAATGTATTAATCCCTTGACCCAACTGTACAAATACCTCAGTAAGCTGGTTAACTCCGTATGAATGTGTACGACATCTCCCCAGAAGCCGTAAACCATGGCGTGGTAATGTGGCACATTCCGCAAAAGAGGACAGCAAGGTAAACATCATTTTAAAAATGCCCTCTCTTCGGTTTCATACACATTTCGCCGACATTCGCCGATCAGATTCATAAACAAATTGGAGGAATTATATGATATATATGTGTGTGTGTGTGTATCTCTCTCTCTCTCTCTATATATATATATATATATATATAAAAATAAAAATTCTATAACCCGCTTCTTGGGTTCTTCCTTACTTTGCGGTCGTAGCTTCTGGGATAGGCTGCTGCCCCACGTGACCCAGCATAGGACATACGGGTATAGAATATGGATGGATGGGTAATTTCGCATTTTTAAGTTAACTTTTTGTGGCCATTAATTTTCTACAAAGTGTAGTGCAGCGGCAAAAATGGTTTTTGTGTTTATATAGAAAAACACATCTAACTATATATGTATAGACATCCTATTAATTATATATTCTAGCTAACAGGAAAAACATTCTTTAGCCCTACTGTTTAAGAGTTTTTTGTCACTAAATTAAGTTTACTTAGGTCTACTAATGGAAATCCTTAGAATTACCAACTTTTAAAACACGTAATTTGATATTTTTTCCAGAAAAATTAAGGATAAAGAACTGAATTGTTCGTATTAAAACATGCAAAAACGAAAAAGGCAATAAAAGTAGCGTGCGTACGATTTTTCAAATAGTATTACAGTGCCATCTTTTGGCAAATGTTGAAACTATAGGCTACATGTTGATTTCGGTTTTTGGGTTTTTGTCATTGGGCGCATTGTAAATCCAATAAAAATAAGCACAACTTGCCTGCTGTAAAATCCAAAATTCGACCTGTGTAAATGCAGATATAGAAATGCAGATCCAGACTGATCACGTGACCGGCAGGGTGGATTGTTAGGTTTGCACCAACCGTTCCATGCTCTATTTGGTTTGGTGCTGAACTCTCCTGCACACGTTCAGTTGTGTATTTGGTGTCCCACTGACAGTTGACCCACTCAAGCTGTCATTTGTGTCTGTTACCTAACTGTGTTATCACAGCATGAATTCATTTCAAGAGTCGTTACAGCGCTGGTCCATTAGGCTTAGCCTATCTGGATCAGAGTGCAGCGAGGGCAAATGCGGCCAGGCAGCACCACCTTAACTCTTCTGGTTTGGGAAACGGTGTGCAAATGATTGATGGCGGTATGTGTTAATGTTTTCTGTGCCCAGAGTAAATATGATAATTGGCCCTTATTCATCTCATAAACACTGTGCACTTCCTGGTGACCACAAACGCAGACCACAGCTGTGGTCGCATAGACTGCTCGTATCTTTCCAGTTATTTCCTGCGCAGCGTGTGAGTCACAGGGAGCCACAGTCTGAGGGAGTCAGAATCTGCATCTGTTTTTCATTTGAGAGGGAAAAAAAAACGTAAACAAAATGGCAAACCCTCCTGGTTTCACAAACCAAAAATAATACATGAATCAAGGAAGAAACCCACAGTATGAGAGACTAACAAAGAGCGAAATAACTTAAATAACTTCACTAATGCGGCTCCTTCAGCCCTGCCCTGCCCAGAGGTGATTTCAGTCAGCATAGTCCTCATGGTGTTTACCGGCTGTCCACATCTTACCGAATGATTCTTCTTGTCTTGATTCTTCACGACAAAAAAAGCCTTCTTCCTCATCTATTTATTTGAAAGTACATGCCCCTGTATGATGGAAGAAGAAGTGTGGTGACAATGTGCGTCCCGGAGATGCGGCTATAAAGCTCGTGACGCGATACCTGTACCTCTGATCCACTTTCTTACCTGTATGTGCTGCCTCAGCTGCTACTACAGAACAGAGCAACAGAACAAGCAAACTTCCTAATAAGGATTTACCACCCAATTCAGTTTAAATGATGGTGGATTGGCTTTATGCGAGTCTGCAGCTCATCACATTAGACTTTTGGGATTTGAACGCAATGGAGGGAGTCACTACACCAGACATCAAACGCAGGATAACAGTGTCTATGCGTGTTTATTTAATCATTCTTGTTAACACAGAATTAGGCTTTGATGGTTCGTTTTTTCTACCGGAATTGTACCCTTTGGCAGTAAGGGGGGAGTGACAGTAAGTTTGTATGTGTCTGTGACAGAGAAAGGAGAAGCTGAATATTTGTGTAATGGGAGACGTAAATGTAAAGAAATCAGCCGCATGCAGACCTGCTGAACGTGATTGTTTACGGTTGAACCAGCCTGGGGTGATATTTTTAAAATGTCCCTTTCGATGAAATTACACTCATAAATAACACTCAAAAACAGATATAGAGTTCACTGCAACGAAACAATGGAGCCCCCTTGACAGGCTGCTTTGAAAGTCAGTGTCTGTGTGGTATTTTTGGCAGGTGTGATGTCGGTGCAGTGGTATCCTGTTTGTACCCAAACCTGCAGTTAACGCCAGTGTTACTAAATTTTAAAAAAATCCCGTACTACCTGTGAAAACGATGAGATATCAGAAGGCGGGCTTCACTCCATTTGAAGGCAGCGCGGAGAGGAGCAGCGTCGGACGGGAATGATCCGAAATTGCGGAAAAAGTCGCACTTTCGGACGCAGCGTCTTCCGCGGATCAGTCCGGATCGAGAGCTTCAGCGCAGATCACCGGCTTAGAAGAGCTCTGGTGATTCTCACTACGATCAGATGACACTAACACGTGCTGACATATCTCACTGGCTCCACTCCAAAATTAACACCAGATTACACTTTGCAGACTGAAGTGACTTAATGTTAATAAGTCGCGCTGACAGCGCTTCTTTGCCTTCGTATAGAGCTGCGGTGTTTTTATGCAAAATGAGATCAAAAGATATACTCTTACTCTTACTAGCTGGGGTGTTAACTGCCTACTATGTTTACATACCTATTCCGGATGAAATTGAAGAGAAATGGAAACTGATGATCACAGATTGTTTCTTCCGGAGCCTCATCCATCTGGTAGGTCTACATTAATACAGTAAAAGTGCAAGTTTGTGTGTGAGGTTGACAAGTCCCCCTGACTTTGAATGGATGTAATTTTAAAACGGAGATGTTTAATGCGGTTAGAGTTATAATGTTGTTTTCACATTTAATGTGAATGATAAGCAGTTGCAGAGGTGCAACGTACACCGGCGCCTTGTTCACGGGCGCGGACACATTTCTGTGACGGCAACATCAGATTATGTCAGATCTTAATCCGAACACTGTAACCTATTAATAGACGCTATTAGGGAAACCGACGCTTTATTTTTAGAACAGCAGACCTGGTTAAGACTTTGTATCCTTTTATTCGGCGAGTACAAGAAGCATACAGTGAAATTGCAATCAAGAAACGAACAATTATGAATTACAGATAGAAGTAGAAATAAAAATGTGCAATTAATAAATAAGCATGTAGCCGATTAAATAAAGAGAAAATCAGAATTAGGCTACAAAAAGCTTGTATGAACAAATAAATGTATAAAGTAATTAACTAGTTCAATAGCTTTTACTCGAATTAAGAAAAACATGCATCTATTCAATTGTCCATTTAAAAAGCAAATCTCCCACTGTGTTTTATGTGCATGAATACACTTCAGCTTCCTTATAAATAGAGAAATGTTAGTATTTAAAACCCGCATTAAGTATCAACACGCCAACTCTGGAGGAATTATTTTTTTTCATAATGAATGTGATTACACACACACACACGTAGTACAAAAGGAGGCCACTTCTTGTCATAATTTTTATGTCACTCCGACGAGGTCTGGATGACATTTTTCATCTTATGCAATTTCATCTGTGCAAGCAGAGAAATTTGTGAAACATGTCCTGCATCTGTCGTAGTGCTATAGGTTTTACTTCGGTGTCAGATCAGAATTCATGATGCATCTTCTGTACCTCTGCCATGTAGATGCCACATAGCTGTATAGCTGAGATCATATACTCATTTTTTTCTCTTGTGCTGTTTTTCTCTGTCCAGGCAGAATTCAGTGATCTTCTAGGTTTGAAAGACTATATGTGGGTAATGATGCTCATTACTGTGCTGGAACGGACAGTACCTGTGTCCGACAAGCATGTACATGTTACAGAGGAGGTATTTGACGGGGTGCAGGTGATTGTATATGAGCCGAGCCAGCAGGGCGGCGATGGAGAGCTGAGGAGAGCAGTAATCTACTTGCATGGGGGAGGCTGGTGTCTGGGTAGTGCCAGTAAGTACCCCATCTACCTTGCTACTGTGTGGAGGAGTGGAGGGGGACATTTTTCCTTTATGAGAGATTATTTGTGTACATGTGTGTGTCTGTCAATCTGTCCCTCTGTGGAGATATATTCTCATAAAACGTTCTCATTAGGGGACTTACTGTTTAATTAAAAACTGTTCTATTGAAAACATCCTTTTAAAAATGAAATGCTTCAAGCTCAGTTGGCAATTGTTTGAAAGTGAGAGTTAATGCAAAGCTTGTGTGTATGTGTGACACAGTGAGCAGGACACACTGAGTATGTGTTTGGTCACTGCTCTGTCCCCTTCTGCAGTGATGGGACCCTATGATCTTCTCTCGAGGCAGACGGTCCAGGAGCTCAACGCTGTTGTGGTATCCGTGGAGTAAGTTTTCTCGCAGTCTTTCACCTCGAAAATGCACTGATCCACTAAACGCTGTGAGGTGTAACTCATGTAGAGCCAATAGCATAAAGGTGTGTTTAGTTTGGTTCTAAAGCAGGGGGTCGACTAGCTGAAAGCAAGTGATCGCATCCTGACTCTGAGGAAGCCCCCCTGCCGCTGTCGCCACAGTACCCCCTCCCACGCCGAATATCTCAGCACAGGGATGGTCTCAGCTGGCTTTCATTACAGAGCCTTTCTCTTTGTGCACGGCTTCCAGCTGGCTGCCCTGCTCATGCTAACGATGCTGGCTTTGAGCTGGACAGCCAGCCAAATGGGTCCTGTGTGTTTCCACTGCGGGGGACACCGGGGGGTGGGGGGGAGGAGGGACCCGTCCACACTCTTCTGCTTTGAATACTTGTGGTTCTTGCTTAATGTTTTCGGAACAGCTGCTGACTTTCGGTAAGGCCCTGCAGTGCACAGGAGGCCCACGTGTCAGGAGGGTGGTGTTAGACTCAGTGAGTTAGGATGTCATGCCCATTATCAGAATGTTGCCTGTTCAAATCCCAGGGTTGGCATAGTGATTTCACTGTTGGGCCCCTGAGCGAGACCTTTAACCCCCAGTCGCTCAGCGTCTGGCTGATCCTGCTCGGTACGTTGCTTTGCATAGAACCGTCTGCTAAGTAAACAAATTGTAGTAAGTGAATTCTGTGTGGCAGAGATGTTCGGCATTAATGACGCACCGTTTGAGGGCAGATCTGACATACAGGAGTCTGTTGTGGTCCAGCTTAGTGTGTTTAGTCTGCAGCGTGCATGACAAAGGAACGGATTGTTTACATTGTTTGGAGAACACAGGGTCAGCCAGTCGCTCCCTCAAGGCCCAGTGCAGAACTCGCTCTGCTGACGTTGAGAGCCCAGCTAGTGACATTCTGATGACAGGCATAGTGTCCTAATCTCTGGCTTACAAATGCAAACCGCATCTTATTAAAACTGAGTTATGACTGAAATTGGGTCTCTTAGGCTCTGTTTTATCTCGTGACAAAATATCATAGTTCATCTGTGCTCAGTTTTGAAGAAAACACTAATGAACAGTCAAAAAGCTCGGAAGTCCTTTCAGTGTCAGTGCAGTTACTCTGTTTGATCTTTGGAGGGCACTCCCCTTCACTTACTGTCATGTCCCCCCCACCCCACCCCACCCCCTGCAGGTATCGACTGGCCCCCCCACACCATTTTCCCATCCCCTTCCTGGATGTGTACCGGGGGGTGAAGCACTTCTTCCAGGGAGCTGTCTTGGCCCGCTACAGGGTGGACGCGAGGCGCGTGGCTGTGTCAGGGGACAGCGCTGGTGGTAACTTGGCTGCGGCCATCGCGCAGCAGGTACCGCCGCTTCCGTCCACTTTCAAGTCGTTCTCTTTGCTCATATTCTGCCTCCTCTGCCCTCTTCATCATCCTCCTCAGCCACTTCCTGTTCTGGCAGGAAGTTCACACTGACGGCACTTGTGTACGTGTATGCATGTGTATGCGGTTGCAGCTGCAGCAGGATGCGGAGCAGTCGGTGCAGCTGAAGGCGCAGGCCCTGCTCTACCCTGTGATGCAGGCGCTGGACCTCAACACACCCTCCTACCAGCAGAACGAGCACATGCCCATTCTGCCCAAGAAGCTGATGGTGCGTTTCTGGAGCGAATACTTCACCAGCGACCGTACCCTGCTGCACGCCATGCTGGCAAACTCGCACAACAGCCTGCAGTCTGGCCGGATGCTCAAGTACGTTAACTGGACCGTCTTACTGCCGGAAAGCTTCCACGGGCCGTACAACTACAGTGCCCCGCCGCTGGCAAACAGGGGCCCATCCTACATGGGGACCGCCCTCACCGACCCGCGGGCGTCGCCCCTTCTGGTGCCCGACACGGCCCTACGGGCACTGCCCAAGGCCTACGTGCTGACCTCTGAGTATGATGTCCTGCGGGACGACGGCGTCATGTACGTCACGCGGTTGCGGCAGGCCGGGGTGGACGTCACGCACCAGCACTACACCTCGGGTTTCCACGGTGCCTTCATGTTCACCGTCTGGCCCACCGACTTCCAGATCGGACGCCGCATGGTGTGGAACTACATCCACTGGCTGAAAGAGAACTTGTAGGCCCGGAAGACACTCCTGCTCCTGTCCTCAAAGCTTTCTTACATTTGGGTTTCAGACTTTGGGAGAAGGAATGTCGCTGGATTTAGAGTTGAATTGATTGAGTTCTTCCTATTGTCAGACCATTGCCTGTTTCAGCATATGGGACCAAAATACTATGAAGGACTGAATAAATCATATGGAGGCACCATTTTAATTAACCAAAAATGGGGGTGATGGAATTTGGAAGGGATGAGTTTTGTTTATGGGGGGGGGGTGCTTTGTAACTTTGTATCATCAGGTTTAAGTCTGTTTCTGATCGAATGTCTTTTACCTCAAGGGAATATAGAAAGTTGTGGGACATCGATTCTTCATATTTTCACACTTTGGAAGATCATAACATACAATTGCTCCCCCCTACCCCAGGAATCCCAGCCATAGAGTGAGACAGGCAGTGTGATGGTATATCTGCAGTGAAGCTGTGGACTCATGATGGTATATCTGCAGTGAAGCTGTGGACTCATGATGGTATATCTGCAGTGAAGCTGTGGACTCGTGCAACATGAGACGATGGCAGATGGGGGTCCCTGCAGCCTGCAGAATGTGCATGTTTTGGGGGGGGGGGGTTGTTGGTTAACAAATCACATGTGTTTCACTTACACAGGACCAGCTGCAGTTATGCCTCCCTCACCACTGGATTTCTGGTTTGCCCGGCGCTACGGAAGAGGCTGCGAAAGACAGTGAGGCCGATCTGAGGAGGAGAGCCGCTGATACCTGCTGACACGAATGCACTAGTCATGAATCAGCCCCAAATCGAGCAAAAGTCGTTGGCCAGCAATAGGGGCCAAGTCACTCCGTTCACTCCTGAGTCACATTTAAAGCGCAGCTGTCCATCCTTCTGTTCCTTTTTTTTAAATGTATACTCCACATGTGACATTCTGCGGTAATAAATTCTGCCTGTTGGCATCACTTCGTGAGGTTTGGTGATGTTTGTCCTGGCAGCCCGAGAACAGCAGCAAAGATCCAGTCAGACCCAGGATCGCTGCTGATGTTTGTTGTGTAGTATTAACTTTTAATGAGAGCAATTACTATAATAGGCTGCTTCAAATCAAGACAAAAGCGATAGGAGATCAGATATGGCCCGATATGGTTTAATCATTTCCCGGTATGGCATGTTTGTGTCTCTGTTGAGGAGCACTGAGATAGAGATGGTCTCTGAGGAGTAGAGATGGTCTCTGAGGGGTACTGAGATTGAGATGGTCTCTGAGGAGCACTGGGATTGAGATGGTGGCTGAGGACCACTGAGATAGAGATGATCTCTCAGGAGCACTGAGATGGAGATGAGGGTTATTTTTCTTGTAAAGCATAAAGAAAATACAAAGGCCATGTCTCCTTTCCCTGACAGGAAAGGCTAAAGTAAGTGTGTTACAGCCTCCTGACCAAGCAGGAAATAGCTGTGCATATTGAAAGATTACTGCTGTCGCACCAGATTTCCTGAAAGATGCCCTGCCCACGACCTTTAGGTAGTGGAATGTGTGGCTGTGTGGAATGTATTTGTGCATGTGAGTGAACACATTACATAAGTCTGTGTCTCTGTGAGCTCAAGCCAATAAGAAGCTCCTTAAATTAGAAATGTGTGACGATAATCTCTCTGTGTTTATCACTTTAAGTATTCACCACTCACCAAAGCATTTCAGAAACTGCGTTTATCAAATAATTAGATTTTAAGTGTCTGGGGATCCGTGGCTGTTCTGACAGGTGCAGATCATTCCTCTGCTGTTGCTGTTACAGACAGAGTCTCAATGGAGATGAGGTCTCAGATTCTGCAGTGCTGTCATGCATTGTAATTCCAGCTCAGATCCAGGAACTTTGTCCCCATTTTGTAAATAGCTGGAAACATCCGTAAGTAATGCAACTGCTTCATAAAATCCCTGCAATAGGGAACTGGTAATGAGCCTCCATCATGTAGGGGAACTGGGCACTGTGGTGAGCCCCAAAGGAGCTCAGATCTGGGCCGAATCATAGCATAACATACACACTTTCTTGTTCCACATATCTTAGTACCCACAATGCTTTAGGTTTCCTGGGAAACTGCAAAAGACAACATTAAGACACGCCCCATGCCAGGTGTGATTAATTCCCAAATCTCCCAGCATGCTCCGGGCCTTGAAAGGGCATGAAAGCGGGACCTTTGCCGAGTCACTCTGGATAGACAAAACCACTGGCTTTTTCATGCGTATTGCATCAGGTGGGATGTCCAGCAGTCAAAATTAAATTAAATTAATTGTAGAAGAATGAAACGAACAAAAGTGCAGCTGAGTTAAATTCAAAACCATTCCTTTAATCTGAAGACGTCGATAGAGAATAAATAAGAAGATTGCATTGAGTATTAACGACACCAAAGGACAGGTAATTGTTTGGTAATTGAACTGGAGGATGACCTGAGCGTTAATGCTGACAGCAAGGAGCTGCTGAAGAAGGCGCAGCAGAGACTGTATTTTCTGAGAATCTGCACTTCCTCAGATGTGAAAGCTCTCCACAGGGTCATCAGGGCAGAAGAGAAAACAATAGGCTGCCCTCTCCCCACCCTGGAACAGATCTACACCCCCGATGCCGGAAGAAAGCTATGGACATTTAACATGATTCATCACATCCTGGTCACTGTCTCTTTCAGCTTTTGCCATCAGACAAGAGATACAGAACAATGAAAATCAGGACAAACCACCTAAAAAACTGTTTTTATCCTAAAGCAATCATGACCTTAAACTCAAAACAGAACTGTTAATTTATATATTTCATAAGTGCAATTTCTATATCCAGTTCAATTTGTATAGTCAGTGCAATTTTGTATATTGTGTAATATATTCTTTTATCACTCTTACGCCTCACATTGAGTCGCCTACACTTTCTCAATTTCGTTGTCAAGTGACAATGACTATAAAGATTCTTATTGTTAATGGTTAGTTGTTGAGGAAAACCTTTACGTTTAGGCGGAATAGATACTCTGACTAAACTGAGAGCTTCATCTCTTCGTCTGTGGACAGCTTATAGTGGAGTGAGACCCATATGCAGTTTGGATATTTCCATAGTTACTGATCTGCTGTGTCTAATAGTCCAATAATTCTTTTCCCTTTCTCAGGCATCTTGTGATTGGCCTGAATCGGGTCAGCTGCCATATGACACCAGGTAAATGATTCTGAGTCAGCTGAAACCTCCGCAGATGTTATAACGGAGAAGCCGTCTGACCTTTTTTCAGGAATTAGTATTCCCAAGAGATGCAGCGAGCTGTCAAGACCTTCAGTACCACTTCTATAGAATTGGGATGTTTAGGGAGTAGCCATGTTAGAAGGCTGGTCGCTGTATATCAACAAGGCAATGCAGCTAATGAATAAATATATTCCAGAAAGTCAGATGTCGTATAGTCATGGTGGCTGATTCAGCTCACATATGCAAACATGACGATACAAAAGTGTGTAAAATACAGTGCTGGTAAGGCAGAGTGTGTGTCTAAGGTCTGATTAAGGCACACTGCTCAAAACTGAGAAGATGTCATGCTGAGACAGGCGTTTTTCATTTTATATTTTATATTTTTATATTTTAAAAAGTCACATTTGTAGCAGTGTTTCAGTGGGATACCTTGCATGTTTCTGATTGTTTCCATGCTTTTTACCACTCAGCAGCGTCACAATAAAATATGAATATGTACCCCTACAATAACGGAAATCCATTTCCTTTAAGGGAGAATGTTTATGAACAGCGTGTATCGACCAATCAGCTGACCTCACGAAAAGAGCGTGTTTATGTAGCGTAAGTGTGTCACACACAGCTTGGAGGACTTTTCAGTCCCATATTACTGCAACCAGCTGATTACACTGATTTTAGTTGCTTCATTTTGGTTTGATTCCCATCTGTAGAGTAACTGGCTCAGATACTAGATTAGCTAGTTTCCCAGGTTGGCTTGAGGTAGGTCAGCAGTCAAACCACCTGCAGTTCAGACTAGATCCATCTGACACTAAGCAGTTTTGGACCTGGCCAGTACTTGAACGGGAGACCAACTAGGAAAGCAGGGTTGCTGCTGGGAGAGGTGTTGGTGTGGCTGACAGGTTAGTCTATCCTGTGGTCTGTGTGGGTCTCAATGCCCCAATGCTGTAAAAATGGCACCATCCTTCGGAAGAGACGTAAAACGGAGGTCCTGACTCTCTGAGGTCGTGAAAGGCATCCTTTGGAAGCATAGGGCTGGTACCCTGATGCCCTGATAAAATTACCCACTGTGGCCTTTTCTAATCCGCCTTCCTAATCATGCCTGTATCTCACTGGTGATTCTCTCCTGCCCATTCACCACCTCAGCTACTGTGTGGTGAAGGTACTGGTGCAGAATGGCTGCCGTCACATCATCCAGGTGTGGGCCACACAGTGCTGGTGGCTGAAGTGGTTCCCCATTGGTTCTGTGAAGGACTTTGGGTGTCTTGAAAAGTGTTATATAAATGTAACATTTGTTCATTCATACCCAGACTGGTACTCTTCAAGAGTACAGAGCATGATACCCTCAATTTTCCTTTATCAATATTAATTAAGCTCTCAGAATTCCTTAATTAATGAACTTCTCTGCATTGGCAGCACTAATAGGCGCTTATTATTTAAATGGCAGTGTGCTTTGTGCAGTGGGCTCTTCACTGTGTTGACTGTTGGCCATTTGTGATCCACTGCCTCTGAGAAATTTGCCCTTTAATACCCGAAAGTCACATGACGCTTCACAAATATATCTGCGTCAACATCTGTGCCTCGTCTGTCACTTCGACAATGGCAGGGTCTTTATTGGAACAGGGATGAGTTGTTTTTTTCATTCTCCAGTCGCCTCCTTTAGCTCCTAGTCTACTCGTCCTTCTGAGGAACATATGGGTTGAATCATGCTAATAATGGTTAAGCTGTCCTCTCATGCAGTTCTAAGCCCAGGTGCACATGCAGCCCGAATGCTGCAACTTTGCTGCCCTCTGCTGTTGCGATGCAGTTTTCCCGTATCAATCGGTCCCAGTTTGTAAATTAAACTTTGTCCGTCGGTTTGTGTTATTTATATGTGGTGAAATTCATAAATAACATTTGGTGTTCCAAAAGTCAAGCACAATCAGTCAGACGAACTGGCCTTTTAGCTAAATTGCAGTTGTTTCTTTTGTTGTCTTTGATGTGTAGGGCAACAGCTGTAAATCCTTCCAGTTTGATCTTTCCTTACTCCAGTAAGGATGTTTACTGGTGGAGCTGGACCCAGCATCCTCAGTGAGGTTCTGATTGTGCGTTACTGGCTTCTTCCTCCGCCTTGAGATCCTTAAAATAGCACCCCACCACCCCCCCACCCCCCCGGCACTGTGGGCTCAGCTCAGGTTTCAGTGAAAGTGACCCAGCCACCACCTTTGGCCGCGCACTTTTGACAGGGTCTGTAAACATCCGACAGGTGCAGCTGGCCACCTGATTCCCATGGGGCAGGGGCTGGGCTGAGGGGGGTCCCTGGGCCTGACAGGTGCAAACTCAGACAGGTGCGAACACACATGCGTATGCAGATGACGTGTCACTCCCCTGGCATGTGTACTACTGCTCTACTGAATTATTTTCTGCCGTTTTATTTTCAATGTTTGCCTCAACATGCGCAGCTTTCTACACCCAAGAAAGGGGATCTCTAGTTTCAACCATAAACTTAATTCTTAATTGAACTGAAACAACACTTTGGATGCTAATGTAATGTAGGCTCTGGCCAGTAGAGGGCAGTATGGCTCAGACAATCAGATGACTCTTGTTACTTGTTTACATTGTTCTCTTGTATTATTTCCAATATTATATATATTTTCAAACCTTTAGATGTATAGACTGCTTTTTTGGTCTACCTGCTGAAATGGATGTATCGAATGCTGTTTGATTTCAGACGAAACACCAAAAGTAACCTCTTCGGGTCACGAGACCTGTTCTGTCTGCTCGAAGGGGCT